TATTATATATATATACACTTTACTGGTTTTGCTTTTGTAGAGAACCCAGCCTAAGACATTATTCTTGGAAGAAGTACAGCCAGAGTGGTGCTTAGAAGGAAGGATGGCAAGATTTCATGTCATGTACTTTGGACATGTTATCAGGAGGGACCAGTCCCTGGAGAAGGACATCATGCTTGGTAAAGCAGAAAGAGGGTCACCGAATAAGAGGAAGACTCTCAACGAGATGGATTGACGCAGTGGCTGCAACAATGGGCTCATACATAGCGACAATTGTGAGGATGGTGCAGGACTGGCAGTGTTTTATTCTGTTGTGCATGGGATAGTTATGAGTTGGAACTGGCTTGACAGCACCTAACAACAACAGCATTTCTCTGACTTCCTTGTTTCATGGCCCTCTAGCCCAGCCAGTCTTCTCTTAGTTTCCCAAGTCCCTTGCCGTGGTTACTGCCTAACATCTACCGAAACCAGCTGAGCGCTTGCATGCCTCTACTGCCTTGCATGCCTCTACTCCTTTACATGCCCACACCTCGAGGACTCTTGTTGATTTCTTCCAGCCTGTCATCCTATCAGTATAGCCTGTCAACCACCCTTTCCTTACCTTGCAGGTTTGTGGTTATTAGAAATATCTATTTCTGTTAATTTCATAAACCTGTCTGGCTTCTCCACAAGGCTCTGAGCTCTCTACAGTGGGCATGACTGTTCTTGAATAGGTTTCCCCGAGTGTACTGCGTGGACTCAGCAAAAACACTGACAGAGCCCTTGGTGGTGCTGTCCTGAGATTAGAGCCGTCTCAGCCAACTCAAAGACTAATCACACAAGCAGCTAGACAGAGAAAACAGATTCTGAATGATAATGCATAATATGCAATTGGCGATTTTGCTGCATAAAGGTTTAGGTGGAAAGAATGGGGGATTTTGATGCATGATTTGAGTAGCTGAAGAGGGAAGGTGGAGGATCAAGAAAGGTGTAGGGGACAGATTATGATGAGGAGGGGAGGGAAGAAAAATAACATTAACAGATTCTCAGCCAATGCAGGACAGATGTACTCCCTGTTCATACCTCCAAATACTGTATCACCTTCACAGACTGATCATGTCTGTGGCAAGAACATCTTCTATTCCTCGCTGCCTCCTCCACACTCTCCTCTTCCTCTCCAGTACAGCTAGTTCCCGACTTACGATGGGGTTACGTTCTGATGACTCTGTCGTAAATCGGTTCTGACATAAGTCGAATGCCTCGTTTTGTTTTGTTTTTTTTTGTTAGTTTTCATTATTGTCTTTTATTATCAGTATCTTCATAAATCCTACCTTTTGGTCTGTCTTTAGGGGTTGGCATGAGAATGAGAACATCAGCACATTACACACTGCAACATTGTATGTAGTACATATTACTAATGATAAGATGTACCAAAATAAATAAAAGGACTCGAATGCGTCATAAGTCGAGGACTGCCTGTACTGTCTCATCCAACCACCTCTACTCCCCAACCCTCTGCCAGTCCATAGCCCGTGGCTGCATCGGCTGAAAGTCTGAGCTGAGCAGTCTCCAACAGTGTCATTTGATGGTGGGCAAGGGGCTGTTGAGAGAGAAGATGCTCCTGTCTTGGCCAGGCTTCCATTGTGATAGGGAGGACAGGCCACCGGGGTCATGGGAGATGAACAGGGACTTTAGCCCTGTGGGTTGAGAGGGATTGAGATGATCAGAGTCAAAATCATGGACTGGCAGAGCTGCAGAAGACCTTGGAGGAAACTGAATCCAGCCTCCCTGAGATCAGAAAGAAGCACCCAGTCCAAAGACTCACAGCTACGTAGCTTATATGATATTAATAATCGACATTTACTGAACACTTTCTGCCAGGCAGTGTTCTCAGTATTCATGAATATTCATTTGTTTACAATACTTTTTGTTTATTCATTTTATACTTGAAGAAACTGAGGCACAGAGAGATTTAGTAAATTACCCAAGGTTAAGCTACTAGTAAGTTGGGGAACAGGATTCCAACCCAGGCAGTCTGGCACCAGAGCCTGTGCGAAATCCCTGTACGGCTCTGCCCCTCAGAAGCAGACCGGCCTTCTGCCTCCCAAGTCCAGTTCTTCCCACTTTAGCCTGAGCCAGAGGGCTTTGACTGCAGTTAATGGCCCTTCACTCTGTTGACTTTTCCAGGTTGAAGGCAAGAGCTCCATCATCCTGACCTTCAGACAGCTGATGGCAGAGGAGGGACCTTGGGGCCTCATGAAGGGCCTCTCGGCCAGAATCATCTCTTCCACGCCCTCCACCATCGTCATTGTGGTGGGCTATGAGAGCCTCAAGAAGCTCAGCTTGCGACCTGAGCTGGTGGATTCAAGACACTGGTAACCAGTGGTGGGGAGAGAAGCCTGCTGTTTCCGCACCACTGGGTCGGGGGCAGAGTGAGGAGGGTAGCACCCTCTCTGTCGCCCCCACCACACACCCAGCCCTGCCCTGGGCCAGGTGGCCTGTCTGGGACAGGGACAGAGACTTTGAACTGCTCTTGCCGAAGAGATTCTAAGCCTGGACCCCCTGCCCCCACTATTTTTAATTCTCTTGCCAAACCAGGCTCCCTCACATAGTCCCTGTACTCCATCCTGCCCTAAGGAAACCTCCACCTGCTAACCCTTCTGGCTTCCCCTTCCATCTGTGTTCCTGAGATCCTGAGAAGAGCTGTACATAGAGCTTATTCACTACCAGTGGTCTCCCTCTTGGGTCTACAGCTCATGCTCCAAGCAGCTGCGGTCAGCCCTCCACACTTCTTCTTTTAGGCTGGCTTATTTTTATTTTGGAGCTGAGCTGCCCACCAGATTACTCTGCTTTCCCCTGCCATTGGGGCAGGGTGCCAGGCACTCTGTACAGGGACTAGGAGTAGCAAAAACTCTGGTTCTCCAGAGAACTTGTCCTCTCTTTGGAGGGGTTATTAGGTTGGGGAGAAATGTTGATACTTTATTTTGTGGGCTTTTTGTTTTTTATTACCTCTGTGAACCAGGCTATTGTCTTAGTCCTGCTAAAGCACCCGTCCTGCAGTTGGAGCCCAGCCCTTCCTTAGACAGGTGGAAAATGTAATGTTTTTTCCTCAGTCCCAGTTTCCTATCCCTGAAGTCCCAGGAGCCCTGGGACAATATAAGCTGCTGGCTTCCCCTGGCCCAGAGGACTACAGTGGTGGGCACAGTTCTAAGTTGATGAGGGTGTTTGGGACACACTGGACTTGGACAGTACCCTGGAAAGTCAGGTTGAGAGAGCAGTCCATTTGGAAAGCGACAAGAGGGGTATGTGCCCAGCATGTTTCCCCCAGGCCTGCTGGGCCCAGCCTAGGAGGGCAGTGGAGGTTCTCAGCCCCAGGCAGCCCTAGACACACACAAGTGTACTCTAATCACTGGAACTCGTGGAAACAAATGCTATCTCACAACGGGTATCTCTGAGATGTGGAACTGTTTGTTTTTTTCTCCCTCAATGTGAAGAGTTATTCCAATCATGGTACCTTTTGGAGGGCTGCTTGGAGGAGAGTCATAAGTGGGTCAGGAAGTCACCCATACCAGGACCACTGCATTTACCAGCCTGATACTGCCAAGATTATCTGTTGACACTCTCCTCTGAAGGAGCTGGGAGATGGGCTCTCCTTCCCTGCCCAACTTCCCTCCCCAACTCCTCCACCAAGCCTGCATTGCAAGCGGAGAGGTGCAGCAAACAGAATAAGAAGGAGGCATGTCAACCCTGCATTTCCACTTGAGATATCTGTCCTGGACAATCCTTCAAACCTTCTTATTGGTCCCACCCACTGGGAAAGGCCATGGTGCCAATTTGAAAGGTGCTAGCTACCTGAAGCCTTGATATTTCTATGGCTGCCCCCTATTCTTACACCGTGGCCAGATCAGAATCTGAAAATTGTTATTTCTCTACTTTTACTACCAACACTGCCCATCTTGGTCTCTATCTTTGAGGATGTTTTCCCTTTTCACATATTTTTGTCTCTTCCCGCACTTTATCAAGGGAGTCCTCCCATCTCTGTCCAGGAGTGGCCATCCAGATGATTGGGCCCACAGATCGTTTTGAATCTTCCTACACCACAGTCACCCCTTTATCTTAAGAACTACCAGTATAATGGAAGCAAGGGGCCCCTCCTCTCTCTTCAAGCTCTTCACAGCGACATCTTTGTAGATTGGTTCTAACTCCGTATCTTCTCTCTAGTGACTTGTCTTCAGTTCTTCCGCACTATGGCAAAGTGAGTAAAGTATCATGGGTAAGAAGTGGTCTCCTGCCTCTCTTGTCTTAGAGTGTTTCTGCCTCCTCTGTTTTCTTATGCAGTTATTTCACAGCTTTTGTCTCGTTACCTTTTCTCTCTCACAGTTTTAAAGGATAATGTGTATATAATTAAGGGGGCCCCTTACCCCAACATTTTCATTTAGTAAGTTTAGGGACTGGGATTGGGTTTGATTAAAACAGGTCCTGGGGGAGATTCATCCAGTGGGCAGAGAGTGGGCTTCCGTTTCCCCAGAACTAGAGACCTGACCAGCTGGAATTTTTGATATGTTGGTTCGTGGCCAAAACTGTAGAAGAAACTTGGAAGACTGCGCAAGACAGGAAAGCTGATGGGGAGTATTGAGGGGCGAGGGAATTAAAATGCAGACGCACTTAATATTTGATAAAGTGGACTCTTGTGAATATTAACAGTGAGTATTCACTGTTGCACTGTACGAAGTCTTTGAAGTGTAATTAAAGTTTTTAGTGAGCCCCGGAGCTTTGGCTTACGTTTGTTCTGCCAGGGCTGCCGCGAAACTACGTAGGTGTACCGCCCGAACCGTCTCCTCCCGGCTTAAAGCATCCGCCTCCGGTGTCCCCTCCCCCGCCCCGCGGGGGCTGGTAATAGAGATCCCGTCGGTTCCAATCGGAGGCTCCCAGTGCTGGGAGCAGCCAATCGGGGACTTCGGTGGGCGGGGCGGCCGGGCCAGTTAGATTTGGCGGTTCGACTTCAACATGGCTGAAGCGAGCGGCAGTGATTCAAGTAACCGCTGTGAGGAAAATGGGCGTGAGGGTTCGTCCCCGAAATCTTTGCTACCTGGCACTACCATTTCGAGGGTGAAGCTCCTCGACACCATGGTGGACACTTTCCTCCAGAAGCTGATCGCCGCCGGGAGGTAGGGTGGAGGGAAGTGAGGGAGAAGACAAACTTGCAGCGGGTAGAAGGGGGTGAGGGAATGGGCGGGTTTGGTCCCGAGCAACAGTCCAGATCCCGCGAGATCAGGACGGCAGGATGGCAGACCGCTCGGTCACGTGGGTCCGCGGAGGCCGGGCGGCTGACAGGTTGGGGGCGGGGGAAGCTGTTTTGGGTTTTACTGACGGGGATGGCAGACTTTAAATCAAATGACGCCGTCAGTGCCTGAGTGCAGAGAAGTCCAGCGATACTTAAACAACACAAGTAATCTGTAGCAGACCTGGGCCCAGAGCTAAAAAACCAAACCCATTGCCATCGAGCTGATTCCACTCATAGCGACTCTATAGGACAGAGTAAAACTGCCCCCTAGGGTTTCCAAGGCTGTAATCTTTAGGGCCGAGATCGTAGCTGATTCTCCACCACCATAAAGCAGATGGTCGGAATCAACTCCACGGCAACGGGTTTGGTTTTTTGGTGTAATCTTTATGGAAGCAGATCGCCAGGTCTTTCTCCCGCAGAGCTGCCAGTGGGTTCGAACCTCCAACCTTTTGGTTAGCAGGCAGGTGCTTAACCTCTGCGCCGCAAGGGCACCTAGACTTGGGACAACTAGCTGTTTTTTCACTATGGGGTTGCTATGAGTCAGAATCCACTCAATGGCAGTGGTAACGGGTAATAGCTAATGTACCTTTTTCACTGGGAGTGTGTGAGGAATAAAAGTATGACCATAGAAAGAAGCGTGTTTTTTATGTCCTGATTTTTATTTTATATGAACAATTCTGTAATGGAACTGGGCATTTTAAAGGAAGGAAAATTGTTGCCCCTGATCCCAACACCCTAGCACATTAATGCTGAAACAGTTATCAGAACTTCAAGGGGATTGATGCCTTGACCACGCCTCTTGTCCATCCAGCTCTCTCTATCCCCACAACCCCTGTTCTGTGGCCTCATCAAGACTCCCGTCTTCTCCCAGTTTCGATCACCCCTGTGTTCAGTACTTGACCTTTCTACGTAGACCTTATGATCCATCTCTTCTATCTCTGATTCACTCAGTAAATATTTCAGTGCCTACTCTGTCCCAGGGTCTGTGTCAGAGGCTGAGGATACCATAAGGCAGATAAGGCCCCTGTCCTCTTGGAGCTTACATTTGCTGCGTAGAGACATGCGGGCGAACAAGAGAATCACGGAGCTTGGTCAGCTAATGAGTTGGTGGTATGACAGCGAGTAGCTTGGGGGGAAGGAAGGGAAACACTAGGTGGGATGGTAGGAGAGCCCACTCTGAGGAGGTGACGTTTGAGCTGAAGCTTGAAGGGTGAGAAGGAACCAGCTTTTTGAAGAACTGAAGGAAGAGCTTGCAGGCAAAGGGAACAGCTTGTGGCCCTGACATGGTCAGGATGTTCCAGGAACTGGCAGAGGCCTTCTTGGCTACACCTTAGTGAGTGGAGGAAAGTGAAAGCAGTAGAATTGAACAGGCAGGCGACAGCCTGACTTTGCAGACCCTAGTTCACCATCATAGTGACTTTGAAAAAAGAATTTGGAATGATTTTTATGGACATCATTATAGGCAAGGCCCCTCCCTTGTTTTGTTTTTTTCCCCCACTCGTGTTCTTGGTCACCCCCACCCCACCCTATAGCCCCCACTCTCTTCTGGCTCCATGTCCTCCATTTATTCATTCATGATACAGATATTCAGGGACCATCTACAGCGTACCAGGCTCTGTTCTGGGAGCTGGAGATACAGCAGTGCTCAAAACAGACAAGGTCCCTGCTCTCATGGAATAGATATTCCAGAGCCAGAAAGAAAAATAAATCAGGGTAAAGGAACAGAGGGCAGTGGGGAGAGGGGTCAGGGTTAGTGTGAGCATGAGGAAGCGACACTGGAATATGTTTGTAGCCTT